TGCCCGCCCCCCCGTCCGCCGTTCGCTTGACGTTTGTTCGCCGGCGCCGGCGCCGGCGCCGGCGCCTTCGCCACCCTCCTGGCTTCCCACGCCGCTCCCGCGGCCTCGGCCTTTGCTGCACTAGCGGCCTCGGCAGCCTGGATCTCGCGGTCTTTCTTCTCCTGCTCCGCCACCCACTCCGACGCAGAGAGGAGGTTTCCCTCTGGATGGCCCAAGTTCGCCCGCTTGGGCGGGCCCTTGGGACGTTTGTTTTTGTTCGACAGGAACTTGCCGAGGACCACCGTGCTCACGCGAAGTTCCGTGATGGTGTGGCCTTTTGACCTGAGCGCGCGGACACCGCGGTCGCCGATCAACTCCTCCAGACGTTCGTTAGTCACGGCGATGGGGACGTCCTCCAGGGGAGGGCGGTCGGTTTCCGTCACCTTCCTCTTCGGGCGCAGCAGCCGGCTGAGTGCCCGCTCCCTGTCCACCGGCCACAGGCCCGCCCCGGCGAAGGAAGCTTGGTTGATTTCCGGCGTAAAGCTCGGGCCCCACGCTAGCCCGATCATGCCGGCCATGTCCCGCTTCCGCGGTAGTGCCCCTCCGTTCCTCGCCGGGAAGGCCTGGATCACCTTCGCCAGCTCCTTCTTGAAGCACCCGAAGCGAGCGACGTTCAAGGGCTGGGTGATGTGGGAGTGGGAGGGCAGCTGGACGAGGTGGATGTTGAGGGAGATGGCCAACTTTATGACGTCCAAGCTCACGTGCGACGCGTGCCCATCCAGCACGAGCACATGGGTTTTCCGTCGAGCAAGTTGCGGTCGCCGAGCTGCTTGTGGAAGTTCTTGACGTACTTGATGAACACCACACCACACATGAAGGACGACTCCGTGCAGTCGTAGAACGCACCCGGCGGGCCGTTGAGATCCGCGACCCAATCTCCGTTGAAGCGTTGCCCTTTGAAGATGATGATAGGGGCCGACACGGCGCCGGCGGCGTTGATGGTGGTGATGATCGTGCAGTTCTCTCGGGAGGTAGAGCGCATCTGGGCGACCACCGGCTGCCCCCGTTCCGCCACGACCCGCTGTCCCTGCGTACCTTGAACGGTGCCACCTGCAGTGTTTTTTTGCGGCGGCAAAGCGGGAGTAGGGGGGAGGGAGAAGCAGTAGGGGATTAAGTACAGGGGACAATAGCGCTTTCACGCACCACCAACGTCCAGCCTAAANCTCACCGGACCAGGCTCTCACATCACCAAGCGCGAAGCGCCGTGAGATATTCGGCGAGTCGCATGAAGGGTGCGCTGCATCCTGCTAAGGGTGTTCGGCATCTTGAGCTTACTTCCTTGCGTGCGGATGACAACTGCGTATGAATTACTTTATTTTCTGGTGCTTTCGCTTCCAGAGACAGTT